AGCCGAGGTTTTGCTCGCCGGATCCCAGAGTCGTTACAAGAATATTTCTTATAACCCTGAATCTTTCGAATAATAATTTTAAAGCCGGTTAATTGTTCTTTTAATTTCTTTATTTATTTTTTTTTTCCGAAATTAATTTTTACAATATTTATAACTTATTTGCTAACAATATATATTATAATTGCAAATATTAAGAATTATTATAATTCCTGAAATAATAAAAAATTCTAACCAATAGTGGATTTGGAACCAACACTACCGACAAGGCTGCGTTGTTAAAGAGTCAGTGTTACCGACTGGGCTACACTGGTGGACTTGGAACCAACGCTACCGACAAGGCTGCGTTGCTAAGAAACAGTGTTACCGATTGGGCTACACTGATGAACTTGGAACCAACGCTACCGACAAGGCTGCGTTGCTAAAGAACAGTGTTACCGATAGGGCTACACTGGTGGACTTGAAACCAACGCTACCGATAAGGCTGCGTTGCTTAGGAACAGTGTTACCGATAGGGCTACACTGGTGGACTTGGAACCAACGCTACCGATAAGGCTGCGTTGCTAAGGAACAGTGTTACCGATAGGGCTACACTGGTGGACTTGGAACCAACACTACCGATAAGGCTGCGTTGCTTAGGAACAGTGTTACCGATAGGGCTACACTGGTGGACTTGGAACCAACGCTACCGATAAGGCTGCGTTGCTAAGGAACAGTGTTACCGATAGGGCTACACTGGTGGACTTGGAACCAACGCTACCGATAAGGCTGCGTTGCTAAGAAACAGTGTTACTGATTGGGCTACACTGATGAACTTGGAACCAACGCTACCGACAAGGCTGCGTTGCTAAGGAACAGTGTTACCGATAGGGCTACACTGATGAGCTTGGAACCAACGCTACCGACAAGGCTGCGTTGCTTAGGAACAGTGTTACCGATAGGGCTACACTGATGGACTAGGAAAATGTTATTTAAATATTTTTAATTACCTGTTTATACACTTGATCTGGCTCTGTCAAGTGTTCTGCTTCGTGGCCTGCCATAGAGTCTCTGGTGATGTGCACTGTTCGAAGTGCTGTGGCCAAGTCCCTCTGGTGATGTGCACTGCTCGAAGTGCTGTGGCCAAGTCCCTCTGGTGATGTGCACTGTTCGAAGTGCTGTGGCCAAGTCTCTCTGGTGATGTGCACTGCTCGAAATGCTGTGGCCAAGTCCCTCTGGTGATGTGCACTGTTCGAAGTGCTGTGGCCAAGTCTCTGTGTTTTACTTTGCTTCTCCTTTTATACGGATTTTGGAAACGGGACTTCTAATTGTTGAGTGCACTTTGTACAGCTTTGTTATTGTCCATTCTAAGTGTCTGCGTCTGGTATGCTTACTGTTGCTGCACATTTGTTAAAATTTTACAAAATAGTTACCCTCAAACAAAAAGGTGTGTTATTACTTAATTTATATTTTAAAAGGAATTGCTTTTAATTTTTATTAAATTAATATTAACTTAATGATACTGATTTTATATACTAACTTAATAATACCTTAATTTTAAACTTATTCATACCTTAATTTTTATTACTACCTTATACTAATATTTTATTTTATGTGTAACTTAACTAATAATAAACAAATTATATTTAACTAAAAATACCTTAATTCTATTGTTGTTTTTTTGTTTTTTTTGTTTATTTTATTTTCTTGTTGTTTGTTTGTGACGAGATTCTAAAACTCGTCACAAACATTAGCATATCATTATATTTAGACAAATTATAATATTATTACATATATTTTTTTTTCTCATTGTTACATTTACGCAATTATTATATAACTATAATATTATACATTCAAAAAAATTTACAAAAAGATAATGAATTATATCTAAGAAAGAAATAAAAACAATCATAACAATTAATTACGATAAAATATCCAGTATTATTATATAAAATTTTTTTTTCTCTCATACAAAATATACAAAAAAAAAAAATGTATAAGAATTTGATTTGTGTTGAATTTTGCTTTCTTGTCCGATCTCGTTACTGATTTTGATTTATGGAAAACTTTGCTACATATATAGGGGAAGTTCAGAATATTCTTAAAAACGCCAAAAAGGCTAGTATCAGAGGATATACTAAGCCCACGATAGCCATTAAACTAAATAGGTTAGATGACCTTAAAAGGCTTATAGAAGCAACATATGTAACCAAAAATTTTGAGGAATTTTTAGCTTTAAAAGAAGTTTTGTTTAGAAAAATATACTCAGACAAGAAAATATCTCTTGAATATGACATCAACTGAACAGACACCTGACGCTATAACCATAAATAACCACATAATAAGTGGTAATCAAAATAACAACGGCACACAAATAGCAAATATGGCGTCGTATGACTCTGTAATAGAAAGTGTAGAAAAACTCCTACCCGTTTTTACAGGAAAGCAAGAAGAATTAAGTTCTTTCTTGCGACGATTGAATTTGTATAGCAAGAAGATTAGAGACGAAGACAAACAGGAGTTCTTAGAGCACATTGTAGATTGCAAACTCAACCACAATGTGAAGATAAGAGTTTCGCCAGTAGGTTTTCCAACTTCAATGGAAACATTGGTAGAGAAACTCAAGTCAATATACATACCGAAAGACACAGTTCCAATTCTCTTACAAAAAATAAGTGAAATTAGGCAAGGCCACAACCAGTCGATCACGGAATATAGTGATAAAATGGCCAAACTATTGTCAGACCTGAATACAGCGTCACTATTAAAGAGAAATTATAGCGCAACCTCACCACAAGCTGAAGGGATGCTAGCAACTAACGAAGAGAATGCATTACTGGCATACAAAAAAGGCCTCAATGCTACATATTCGCAAGCTGTACAGATGTCACAGCCCAAAACTTTCCAGGAAGCGAGAGAAATCGCTGAAAGTTTACTTTTCACTGAACAGAACCAAAGAATGCTATACTACCGTGGTAACACGCCAAATGGCAATAGACCAAATGGCAATAGACTTAGTGGCAACTGGTCCAATAACAATAACAATTATAATAATAATAATAACAATCGAAATAACCGGTACCATAACGGAAATAACTGATATAACAATAGAAATACATATAATAATAGTGGTCAAAGAAACCACAACAATCAAAATAACAACTCAAATAGGAATCAAAATAATTCTCTTAACAGTAACAACAGGAATGTCCAAATAAATCGAAGTAACAACAATAACAACTGGAGACAAATCAACAATAGAAACAACAACTGAAACGGAAACGGAAGGAACATTCGTTTAACAGCAGCACAGGAAAACTGCAACACACCAGAGGGAAACCAGTAGAATTCACCTCTGGTAAAATAAAAAAATATATCTACTCATTCAACCCACATTCATCGAACTATATAAAAGTTCATTGCCAAGACACTAACAACTATATAAAATTATTAATCGATTCAGGAGCAGATGTGTCACTAATCAAAAACAAGTTTAATCTAAATTATAATTCGAATAAAACATGTACATTATCTGGTATCACAAACAACTATATAAATTCCATAGGCATCACGACTCTTCATATGATGTTTGAAAATATAAATTTAAAGCATGAATTTTAGGTGGTGGAAGAGGATTTTCCAATTGAAGTAGATGGCATCATCGGTGGAGATTTCCTAACCATCTTTAAATGTAATATTGATTATTACACTTTTTCGTTAATAGTTACCCACAATGAACAACAGATAACTATTCCCATATCATATAAACCAATTGTTCTACAAGCAAGAACAGAACATATATTACCTATAGACATGTATTTCGATGATGATAAATTGTTGATTTCTCAAGAAATTGACAAAGGTGTTTTCATTGCAAATACAATGCTACCAGCAAGAGGAAACTGCCATATTCGAGTTTTGAACACGAATGAACACAGTGTTACTCTAAATACACTAAATTTTAAAACCCGTCCTTTGAACGAGTATTATAAAGTTAATAAAGACCCTTGTAACAAATATAATGAATCACGTTCACAAAAACTTTTAAATAAATTACAAATAGGAACGCAACATAACAAATGTGACGATAAGGAACTTACCTCACTGGTAACTAAATTTCAACATATATTCTTGATGGAAGGAGAACAAATATCCTGCAACAATTTCTACACGGAACATATTTCAACTTCAGATAATGTGCCAACATACATCAAAAATTATAGACTACCACATAGTCATAATGATGTTGTTAAATCGCAAGTCCAAAAATTACTTGACGATGATATAATACAACCCTCTAAAAGCCCATACAATTCACCAATCCTACTTGTACAGAAGAAATCATCAGATGATGAGAAGAAATGGAGACTCGTAATCGATTACAGAAAACTCAACAACAAAATAATAAATGACAAATTTCCTCTAACACGCCTTGAAGACATACTAGACTTGCTTGG